GGTAATGAGAAAGATTACTAGGAGTATACAATGGATTTTCACATAGAAGCTAGAAGATCTCAATTTTGCATATGACATCAGCCTGCTTTCCCAGCCTCACAGAGATATACAAGCCAAAACAAATGATCTCCAGACCTATGCACAGTTACTAGGGCTGAAAATCAATGAGTAAATTAAAAGTATGAGAATCAACACACAACAAGAAACTCCAATAACACTTTCAGGGATTGAAATAGAAGAGGTCTGACATATCACATATCTTGGCAGCATCATAAGCAAAACAGGTGGAATTGACAAAGACATTAAAGCCAGAATAACTCAAGCCCACACCTTTGCAACCCTAAAACCAATCTGGAGAAACAGAAACCTTGCTCTCCAAATGAAACTTTGAATATATAACCCCATTATAAAGTCTGTATTACTATATGGTGCTGAAACTTGGAAACTTATCAAGACCTTACTATCTAAACTCCAAGTTATTATAAACAGCTGCCTTAGACAAATCCTCAACATCAAATGGCCAGAATAAATGACAAATGAAGAACTTTAGAGGAGGACGAAACAGAAACTGATAGGACAGGATACGATGGGATGAAAATAGAGATGGCTAGGACATATAGAGAATAGAACTGAACAACATAATAAGACAGGTATTGGACTGGAATCCCCAGGGTAAGAAGTGACTGGACAATTTGGAAACAACAGAAGCAGAACTGAAAGCTATTAAAATGACATGGGAAGATGCTAAAAGCAGGGGCGGCACCAGCGCACCTGGAGCGGCAAGCCGCAGGGGGCGGCCTGCCGGTCGCTGTGGAGACGGAAGTCAGGGAGCCTTCGGCAGGCTGCCTGCGGGAGGTCCGCAGGTCCCGCGGCTTCAGCGGCAATTCAGCAGCGGGTACACCGAAGCCGCGGGACCAGCAGACCTCCCACAGGCGCACCGCCAAAAGCCACCTGACTGCCGTGCTTGGGGCAGCAAAATACATAGAGCCGCCCCTGGCTAAAAGGGCAGCAAGAGACTGCCAAATATGGAAGGCAGTGATGAAGGCACTATGTTTTGCTTGGAAGAAAGCAGCATCAGTTGAGTAAGTCAGTCAGTATCAATGAAGCAGATGCTAAAGGGATCAGAAGTAGTCGTCAATGGGGAATCATAATTGAATGGGGATATTTCTAGTGGTGTTCTGCAGGGAATTTTACTAGCTCCAATGTTGTTCAATATTTTTAGCAATGATCTGGAAGTTTAATATAAAATCTCTGCTGATAAAATTTGTGAATGATACAAAGATTGACAACTACGAGGATAGGACAGCCATACAGAGCGATTTGGATCACTTGGTCCCATTTGAATGAAATGTATTTTATACAGTCAAAAGCAAGGTCATACATGTAAGAACAAAGAATGCAGGCCCTACCTATGTAATGGGGTGAAGTATCCTGGAAAGCAGTGACTCTGAAAAGCATGTAGGAGCTATAGTTCATTGGATGCATAAAGAGGCAACTAGTGAGTGGGAGTAGGGAGGAGATTTTACCTCTGCATACAGCATTGGTGAGACCAATATTGGAATAGTAGGTCCAGTCTGGTGTCTACATTTTTAAGAGAGTGTTGAAAAATTTAAGAGGGTGTAGAAATGAGCTACAAAAATTATTCTGGGGATGAAGGAAATGCTTTATGGTGAGAGACTTAGAGCTCAATCTACTTAGTTTATAAAAAATATATATAATTGAGAGGTGACTTGATTACAGTATATAAGTACCTCACAGGGAGAAGATGCTGGTATCTAGCAAAGAAAGACATAACAAGAACCAATGAGTGGAAGCTAAAGCCAGAAAAATTCCAATTACAAATAAGGCGCATGTTTTTAACAATTAGGGTGATTAACTATTGGAACAAACTACTATGGAAAGTGTTGGATTCTCCATCTCTTGAAGTCTTCAGACCAAGATTCGATGCCTTTCTAGAAAATATGCTTTAGCCAAACACAAGTTATTGGGATCAATATAGGAATAGCTTTATTAAATTCTATGGCCCTTACTGTGCAGGAGGTCAGCCTATGTGAACTGACAGACCCTTCCAGTCTTAAAAACTTTGAATCTAATTAAATAAGTTCTCCTAAAACCTGCTTCAGTCAGTATTATTCCCTGGAGAGTGAATTTAGAAACATTTATTAAGCTAATATTTGAATAATGTGGCTTGAAGTTAAATAGCAATATTCTGAAATACTTGATAAGAGAAAATTTCAAGACTCTTAACAAGTATCGGGGGTAGCCGTGTTAGTCTGTATCTACAAAAACAACAAGGAGTCTGGTGGCACCTTAAAGACTAACAGATTTATTTGGGCATAAGCTTTCGTGGGTAAAAACCTCACTTCTTCAGATGCATAGAGTGAAAGTTACAGATGCCGGCATTATATACTGACACATGGAGAGCAGGAAGTTACTTCGCAAGTGGAGAACCTGTGTTGACAGGGCCAATTCAATCAGACTCTTAACAGTAAACTTGATAAATTTCTTGTATAAAAAGGCTGATGTTATATTTTTGGGAATCACCAGATGGCGCCAATACAGATAGTCATACAAATTCTATTTAACAGAGGGTAGGATGTTCTAGAGCCCTCAGATTGACATTATGGACAGAGGTAGGCCAATGCTGAGCACGTATGAAAATCCCACCCTGAAAGTATAGGTAGTTAGATCTTGGAGAAATACTAATTTTTTGTGGTGATGCACTTCTTTTTTAGAAGCGGAGTATGTCACTAGAAAAGTTGATTCTCTCTGACTGGAATCTTTCTTAGATACAAAGCAGCTGCCTACAGGATAGATACATAATAAGCAAACACTACATGTTTTTAAAACATAGTTTTCTCGTTGTGTCTTTAGGTACTGTAGTTTTGTTTGGAATGCAGATACACATGCCACAACAATGAATTTAACTGCAACTGTCAAATTATGATTATATCTTTATTTTCACAGAAATCTCCTTTGTTGTTTTGTTGTAGAAATCAATGAGGCTTTTGCTTATCTTATGGAGATTTTATTCATCTGGTGTGTGGAGAATGAGTGATTATGACACTGAGATACTCTTATTTTTCCTGTAGTTTCATCTGGGACACAGACCCAAATGAGCAATGACACTTACATGCAAATAGTAACGTTTCTTACACGGTGTATTCTTTCTTAAAAGAGCAGTAGATGGGTAGGTTTCAGGGTTGTTTCTTTAACAGCCAGTGCACCACTTAGCTACTTCTCTTTTGCTCTGATTTTTTAAAAAATTGTTCACATTTCAAAAGTTCTTCTTGGATTCCCTGGCCCCTTTCACAAGCTAAATAGCCCTGCTTGCCTGTTGTTACACTAAATGAAAAAGAAATCACAGGAGCTGAGATCCAGCCCTTTTCCCCTGCAGGGCCTCAGTTGCCAGCACTTTTCTTGAACTAAAAATAGTATCTAACTGGTTCATTCAAAGAACAAAAATATTATACAGTTATGGAAACAGTGATCTAGAGCAGTGGTTCTCAACCCACGGGCTGCATGCGGTCCAATTAGCACACAGCTGCGGCCCAGCTGTGTGCTAAAGGGCGGCAGGATCCAGGGCTGGGGCTGCCACATGGTGGGTCTGGGGTTGGGGCCGGCGTTCAGGATCCAGGGTTGGGCTGCCACCTGTCCCCCTGCAGCAGGGTCCAGGGTCAGGGTCGGGGCTGCCGACCAACCCTGCACAGCAGGGGTCAGGGTTGGCAGTGGGGTTGGGTCAGGACTGCTGTCTGGCCCCGCACAATGGGGTCCGGCTTCGGGGTCTGGCTGCCCCCACACAGCAGGGTCTGGGGTTGGCGCTGCCACCTGTCTCTACAGAGCAGGGGTCGGGGTTGGCAGTGGGGTTGGGTTGGAGCTGCCGCTCGGCCCCGCACAACAGGGTACGGGGTCCCTGCTGCCCAGCCCTGCCACCGGGGCTCCGCTCCTGGCCCCACTCTGTGGAGGGGATCTCTGGGCTGGGGGACACTGGGTATAGCGGGGTGTGGGTGATGCTGTGGTTCTCAACCTGTGACTCAGGTAACACATTGTGGCCCGCATATGTAACTCACAATGATTAACAGGTTGAGAACCACTGATCTAGAGACTTAAGGAAGGAAAGAAAGAATAACTGATTTGAGGAGTCTGACTGCAGTAGTTACTTACACTTTACTCTATATGGGACTCATTGGTTCCACCACTTCAGACCTCAGATCTGCACTTTTAGTGTCACAGAAGATTTCCCTCCAAATTTTCTCATCTTACTTTGAACAGTGTCTCCTGCTTCTGTTTAGTGTGAGGAAATGAGGCCACCTTCATACAACCCAATACCTCCCCCTTCTTGCCTTCCAGAAATGATAGGTCAGGACACCGGCAACAACAAAACTCAAGCTGAGGAAAAATTCCAAGTGAGGATAGATTTGGTCATGGTGTAATATTTCCTTCCTGATTTCAGCCAGATGGGCAATAGCATGAGCTATATCCATTTCTGTCCCAGACATAAAAGAGGGAGTGTTGATATCTTTGTCCTATTTCTATTTCTTTTCTGGACAATAAACTGAAACAAAACGGCGTGTTGGTATTTGTTAGATTTTGAGAAAAGTGTTGGACCCTATTTTGTAGACCTAAAGTCTGAAAATAGTCTTTCTGGGCCAGTTAAAAACAAACAACAACAAAACCTCGACACGCTCCCAGACTGCAGCTTCCCCAGGATGGAGCGCCTATGTGTTATACATGTTAAACATCTCCTATTCAGAGCTGACTCTGACTTTGTGCCCTGGGCCAGGTGAAAAGACTTTTCCAAAAAAATAAAAAAGTACATCTGAAATTGAAATTTCTACCAGGAAGATGGTTCTGTGGTTTTATAGGAGGTAGCATTATTGTGCCTTTAAAAAATAGTGTTAGTTATGTTAATTTTTTTTAAAAAGCTAAAAGAAAAAAAGAGGAGGGAAGAGTTCTTTTATGGTCCTATTTTATCTTTTTTTTTTTGTCCTCTTTTTCAGTCGACTTTTTGGCAAAATACTGCATCTTCAGCCAGGAGAAGTTGGCTAAGTACAAAATGGCTTTTGAAGCGGTAAGTGTAAATTCAGACTTCTTTTCTTTTCTTTCTTCCTTTTTTTTTAATACCCCTCTCCTCCTGTGTCAGTAGACAGTTAAGCAGAAATAATAAGCACCATTGCTTGCAGTACACGTCCCATGAATTACTCTGACATCAAATGTAACTTTAGAATGGAGGCACGCTTTATTGAGACCAATATTGGAAGAGTAGGTCCAGTCTGGTGTCTACATTTTTAAGAGAGTGTTGAAAAATTTAAGAGGGTGTAGAAATGAGCTACAAAAATTATTCTGGGGATGAAGGAAATGCTTTATGGTGAGAGACTTAGAGCTCAATCTACTTAGTTTATAAAAAATATATATAATTGAGAGGTG